CCAACAGTCAGTATAACAGCGATCTCAATCATTCAAAGTAATTTCTATTTACACGTATAGTAAACACTTTCATTAGGTGTGACAATCATTGGATGAACAAATTAACCAATATGTAATTAGCTATAAGTCATATTCAAGGGACGTAACTCTTATACTTCAATTTCCATTACAACAACAGGAAGAAAACTATTAGTAATTCTGTAGAGAGAGTTAGATCATCTTCAAGGTTGGTCTGACAGGTGGCTGTTAAAGTTTCAACCTGATAAATGCCACCATATGAGGATTGATGTTACAAATCTTCATCTCTATAAGGAGTCTGAAGGTACTAAAAGTCCAAGTCACATCCAGAGAGCAGTGAACAAAGCAAACAGAATATTGGGAACGATAAGAAGAACACATACATGAATAACACATCGTTTTGCTTGGTATATAAAGAGCTGGCAAGAACTCACCTCAAATATGGAGCAAGCATCCGGGATCTCAATCATATACAGGATGTTAATTTACCAGAGAACGCACAAAGAATGGTCACAAAGCTACTACCAGGAATGAGAGATATTACATATGTGATGATTTTATTCAGTTTGAGTTATCTCCCTTCACGTAACCTACCTAATTAATGTAATTAACAATGATTGACTGATTTGTAAAAACAACTGGTGTTTTCTATATATGTAATCATACTTTATAAGTGAATATATACGTCTTACGTATTTTGGGTAATGAGATAGTTTTTGATGCTTTGTTAATCTGCAAAATAATGACACCCAGAATGTTACACCAAATTTTATGTAAAGGCTAATTGAAACCAGTACTGGGGGCTGGAAGTTCTGAAGACACACGGAGTGTACAGCGAAAATAATAAGGTAAGCGTTGGCTGCATACTGTTACCAGAAGCTCCTGCATAAGGGGTTGCCTGAATAAGGCTACTCGGGTAACAGTGTAGGTGTGGTTGGTGCCAGTAAGTTGACGAGTCAGGTACGCCAGAAGCTCCTGGATAAGGAGTCGCCTGCAAAGGCTGCTCTGGTACGCCTGACCTTAGTACTTTATAACAGCAGAACACTGGCAGGCGACGTCGGAGCTGTACGGTGGTCAGCTCGGCGACGTGCCTGTAGTAGTGACAGTACACATACAAGGATAGAATGAAAAAAACCCTTCCATCTTTGAAATAAAGACATGATTGTGGGGATATGATCGAGGTTTTTAAGATTGTTAGAGGATTTTATGACAATCAGGCATCATTAAAAATCAAAACATAAGGACGAGGGAACACACAGTTTGGAGAAAGCAAGATAAAGATTGGACGTCAGAAAGTTTTCCTTCTCTCAAAGGGTTGTAAATGAATGGAACTCGCTACCAGAGAATATTGTACAGGCACAAACACTCAACGCCTTTGAGAACAGGCTGGATAAACATTGGAGAGACAGGATTCGTAATATCAGTATAAATAAATCCTACGGCGTACCGACCAGAAGCGACCAATACAAACTAACAATTAAGACGATGGATTTGGATCTGATTATAGAGGTCTAAAGGCCCGAGTTCAGTAACGACTAAGTAAGACTAAGTAGGTAATATCATATATCTTTGATGTGTGGCATGCATCAGTGCCAATGGTGGCCATACAGCTACTAATTCGGAATGGTTCCGACTATCCAGGCTGCGATTTCATTTTTGTGTTGGTTGTGCTACCGAGGCAAAATTAAATCGCGGACAGAGTCAGAATCCTTCAGAGTAATAGGCGCTGGTACACATGTACAAAGCATTGTGGAACTCAGTTTTACATTCTTCCATTTCTTTTGCACTAGATCTCAATCCCATTTGACCGATTGTCTTATAATTCTGTCATTATGAAGATCATGCATGGTGAAGAAACATTTGGTAAAAATGTAACAAATTATTTTGCATATGAATTTATGAATTAAACAGTTGAAATACAGTTTCTTTATTCCATAAGCATATAAGAAATTAAGTGAACATTCCCTGGCAGTCCATGTGACTCTCCCTTCCCCCTCCTTTTTTACTAACTACTATTTACATAAAATCATAGCACACCACCCCTTCTTTATACCCTCTGTGATAGCAGGTTAGAATACTTAGTCAACATACGAAAGAAAAAGACACAATGCTGATAGATCACCAACACAGTGAAGTGTCATTGTCACTGAGTACATATTTTCCCCCCGTTATTGTCTGTATTTTTCAAACCCAGGCATGACAGTACAAGATGTAGTTCGGTGATATGATTTTCAACCCTCCAAAAGTTTACAGCCCTGAACTCGAAGCCCCTCATGACTGCAATGAACTGGACCTCCTGGACACAATCATTAATGATCCCTGGTAGGTTGAATTGAAGACCAAGACAGAGGCATCATTGTCGCACACAAGCATTTTTTTCCTTGGAAAAAGGATTCCAATGTCATCACAGCCACTGCTACCCCAAGACGCTTTAAGGCATTTATTTGCAAACCTTTCTTGATAATGTTATAGGGTGGAGCGGGGAAAGTGAGCATAAAGATAGTGACTGACATCGGGGGACCAGGTACCACATATTATACTATTGGAGCATGACTCTGGTATCTGGTTCAGACCAATTCTGATAAGGAATCATGAATACTCGGGAATCGGGTCATACCTCTGGTTCGGGAAAGCTTTGAGCCAAGTGAGGAGCAAAAACATAAACACCCTCCGTGTTCACACACAATGTGAAATTAAGTATAACTTTATTGTAGAAGACTGTGTAGCTCTTTCAGGGAGGCCCCTTCCCATGACAGCTGCTTACAGTATACAACAACTTCAGAGTGCACCTAACTGATAAAGTCATTTCCACCGAGTCATATAAGCCATTAATTTGACGAGGAAGCAAACTTTAAAAAAATGTCACCAAAGAAATCATCATTTTGTCGATGGGAAACCTCACTTTCACGTCCGTCCACTGATGTGTATTATCTCCAGTGCTACGTAGAACCCCAAATCAATTTCTCACACTATTCTGGTATAATTGATCTATTAAGTATTAAATGCCAGATACACGTGTAAGTGTCGGCATCCGCCAACCTTTTTCCCCCTTGTTTTTTTAGTCTCAAACACCATATTTGTTTTGCTTGATTTTTACTTGTCATAAATGACTGAACAGATTAATTTTTATAAAATTTGGCCTGGATTAGTCTTGGGGGAAGCAGAACCAACTTTGTATGAATGCCTGGTCTTGGACCCCAAGGGCCTGAGTCCACATTGAAATATATCATATTCTTCAAAAATTCTGTTCTTTTGAATAGGAATGAGTTAATTGGAATAAAAATTTGATTTGAAGCATCCTTCACAGAAGGGTCTCAGTTTTGTATAAACGGAGGGTCTGAACCCCCTGCACATAGAGGGGTAGGGCAGAATAGCTAAAATAGTGGTGTGACTTTAAAATCATTATTTTTCAGTTAGGTCAGTGATGTAGATGGATTTCGCCACAAGGAAGTAGTTGACTCTAGCATTTTTGTAATTGGAGAGGGCGAGGGTTGGGTGGGGCCTACACAGTTTCGATTGAATATTACATAATTTTGATGTTGATCAAATGCATTAATAAAATATATGATTTATATTAATCCTATTCCTTAAACATCTGGATTGGCATTATCACTCTTCTTCGAAAAACCACACAGGGATCTTGAACGTTCAAAGAATATGGACGGTCCTCACACGGACCATGGTCAATGTCTTGTCTGCCAGACTATGCTTAGTTGTTAGATGTTAAATCAGTGCAGGTCCATTTTTTGTTTGTTTGTATGCTTGGGGAAAGAGAATAAATTTGGTTTAAATAGTGGATTTTGGGGCTTTAGGCCGGAGGGTCAGGGCCCACAAGGGGTAATATTACAGAATTTTGATCAAACTGGAATCTTTGGCGAAGGAAAACCAGTTTTATGTAAGTTATATATACATGTAGGTCTCAAGCTTCTGATGTCAACGGAGTGTGGGTCAACAGGGTATATACATTGTAGATATAATCTGTTAAAATGAGAGTATTTTGACTAAATTTCATATCAAATATCTTTGAGAGAGGAGGACTCATTTTTGTTTGGTAAATTAAGGGTCTACAAAGGAGTAGTAAAAAAACAATCAAATACTCCAGGTGTTACGCTCACTTTTGCTCTCTGCACCCCTGGAACATTTCCTGGTATAACTGAAGGTAAAAGCGAAGTAATTAATCTTGTCTGGAGCTGTATTCACGTGAACAAAACATAGACTGATATGCTCCTTTGAAGATTATAAAAGAGTGCCACACATCATTAAAGCCTCCAGATTTGTGTCGTGTACATCTAGGATCACGCCTCGTCTGAAATATCCAGATGACTGATACAGGTTCCATGTGCCTCTTGTTTCATTAGTTTCAGAGAGATCTTTGAGCATTTGGCGAATATCTTTGGAAGATGCATGTTGCAAACCTCGTGTAAATCACTTTGGTCTATTTCAGTAAAAAAAACCAAGAGCGTTCTCTAGAGTGTGTTAATTATCAGGTAGAATCTCATTAGCAGTAGTACAGTTGATTGATACAGGCCAATTGGTACTCTTATCTAAATAACTTCAAATGTTCAAAAATAAACGTATTTATCCAAATTATTGGACGAGAAGCAGAACCACACACTGTGAAGGTAGTAATTATTTCATTCAAAGATTCAATGATCTGCAGTTTTAACAGAAGGTTGAATAAAAAACAATGTAATTTTATTTGGCCCTACTACTTTTTAAAATTGTGCAGTGATATTAGAAATAGCCAAATGTTTTAAGGACGTGCCAGGTTTGGGTGGTGGAGGAAAGCTGGAGTTCCCTGAGAAAAACCATTGACCTGCAGCCAGTATTTGTTGACTGCCCCTATAGGCCTTGAACCCACCACCCAGAGGTACAGGACTAGTGGTAAAGACGGTCAGACATCTTTACCTCTTGGCCACCATAGAAAACGTGGAAAAACTGGTGAAAATGTACTGATTTAAATAAAAGTCATTTGAGGCTACCAATCTTTCCTTTATTTCATTCTTTCCAACTCCATTCTTCATTATATGGCTACTCCAGCAATTTTTTCAAAGTTCATTTCTTTATTATTTTAGAGTTGCCTCCCCTCATCACAAGGACTATGTCTATAGTTTGAATTTTTTTGCTGATTTCCCATCTTCTTTGCCTTGCTTTCTTTTCTGAGAATCCTTACTACGGATCTGAGTAGTTACCTCCTCTTGAAGTTGGGTGAAGAATGTCTTAGAGGAGGTCAAATTTGCATCCTTCTTCTGTTTATTGTCCTAGAAATGATAAATTCAAACATTTTTGATTATATTATGTTGTGAGATTATGAATCCAGTAAGTGAAGTTACTTGTACATGTTGTAACTAAGACATCATGATTTAGTAGATCTGAGTTACAAAACAAAAACTCCTGTAATATTTTTTTCTGTTTTCTTAAGTTTTTTGCTGACCTCAGGCTGTCCAGCACTTCTTGACAAACAATTAGGGCTAATTTTAGGGCTAAAATTACAAAATTTTAGGCCAAATTTAGGGCTAAAATTAGGAATTTTGTAACTAGAATAGGGAGTATGAAAGCATTAAAACGACTTACCTTTGCAAATTTGACAAAATAGAAACTAACATACAATGCCTTAATTGCAGGAAAGGTGTCTTCCAGGGTTTCAGTGTCCCAGCTGCTGTTGGCTGTGACCTTAATAATCACACCTCTATCACTCAGTCACAACCAATAACAATCTGGGTACATAGATCCACTGGTCAACTGCCTTTCATTGTCTACCCTGAATTAGAACTACAGACTACACTAAAATACATTTTAAGTATGAATTTAATGAAAACATTTTCAGTAAATTGTAAGAAATATAAAAAAAGTAGGAACTGAAGTGAAAAATTAGGGCTATTTTAGGAATTCCTTTTGAATTTTTCATTTTTTTAGGAATTTTAGCAAAACTGAAAAAAATTAGATTTTTTAGGAATTTTAGGGATGCTGGACAGCCTGTGACCTATAAATTCCGATGTTAATCATTAGTAGTACAAATACCTTTACTATGGTCAGTCTTCCCCCAGTCTTGCTCTGTTTCTTCAGTCCTCTCAATGCTTTCTCTTTTCCTGCTTTATTCCCTACTTCAGGGTGTGCCTTTTCTAACAAAGCATGCTTCTTCTCTCTCTCTTCATTCTTTCTCTTTTTATCTATCTTCTTCTTCCTACGTTCTCTCTTTCGATCTGTAGCTGATTTTTCAGTCTTGGCCATCAGTTCTCCCTTAGTTTTCACCTGTTGTATAACATGTATAGAGGAATGTACAACAAACACACAAGTGGATAGAGTTAGATACAGCTGAATCAAAACACGAATTAAACTGCATTATACAGCTGCTTTTTTCTTTCTAGGACTTGTCAGTGATGCTAAGAGCCTAAATTTTGAAGCCTAGTAGGTGACTGAGGAAAATTAAAAGTGATTAAAGGAAATGTCAAAATGTAAATTGGGAAGTACAGTAACCCCGTAATTCAATAACCTTCATGGCTTTCCCATACAATATATACTTGTTAATTTTAGAAGATGTCAATGATATATGTATCTTCTGAATCATGCCATCAGGTACCTGAATTAATTAATTAATTACAAGTTATTACAGGGACTACAAGTCCGTCAGTGGTGTCTACCATCTGCAATCTGTAAGATCATACATGCATTCCAAAGATACATGTATTTCACACCTGTTTTTATCAATCCCTAAGACAGCTATTGATAAAGATAAATCCAGATCAAATCCATACCGTTATTTAGGACTAATAATAGGCTACAGGAATTGTTGTTAGTACATACTTCCCTACGGTGTTATCTCAGACAACCTGCCCTGTTTGATTGACATGTATTGCAAATTGATGCTTTCTAATCACATAAATCAACCATCAACATTTCTAAAACTATCAATAATTAGAAAATTTACCCACACTTAAGTAAATATTTTGTAAAGATTAATCAAATGACATTCATATAATGATACAGTATCCAATATTACAGCAAAATCAGTAGATACCTGGACTTGTTCAGGTGCCAGCATTTTCTGGTCGCTAACACTGACAGGAGCCACTTCCTCCATTTGTATGGATGGCAGATTTGTTACAATCTTCAATTCAGGTGCCGCCTGAAACATATGGACATTTTGAATGATACAGTTTCTCTTACTTCTAGTGATGAGAATTACAGTGTACACCATGATTGATCACATTCCTCTCTCAATTAATCCATGATCAATTATTGATAAAAAGTTAACTGAATGAAATAAACAAGTATATATCAATGTTTAATATACTCAAACGTTGGCCAAATACTGTGTTTTTTTTATTTTATGTATTAAGTGATGTTAATATTTTGAGTGAATTCAAGATAAAAATTGTGTGTAAGATTGTTACAGGCTTAAAGTATTTTGTTTTTCTATTTTTCCTCTTTCTAATTTCATGCATGCCATGATCTAACCATAATCAAACAAAGGATTATACTGACTGACCTTTAGCAAAAGGCAAAACTACCTTGATTAAACCAATTAGTCTGTATAACATGCTTTGCCTCGGCATGAAAACCATATGTAAGTCTTAAACCTCAAAATGGATATTTTTTCAAAACATTTCACCAATGTTATATTGAAAGTACATCCTATATGTAAGGGCAAAGTACTAGGTTAAGACCATCAGTTTGTTACACTGTACAAATATCATCAACTCTCTTCCTATATACTGCTGTTTAGAAGATTTTTTGTTATAAAACACATAAAAAGGACTACATTCCATATGTACAAAGGTATTTTGTGAGGGTGTGATTATCCTCCAAGTCATCTTCACAGAACTTACTCTATCTTTAACCACAGTAAAAACATTTATCCACATACACTATCTTCTAAGCCATATTTACAGAACTTACTCCATCTTTAACCACAGTAAAAACATCAATCTACATAAACTATCCTCCAAGTCATCTTTACACAACTTCAACCATGGTAAAAACATCTATGCACGTAAACCTCAACTTTTTTTCTCCTCTTCAGCAAACAACACCACGAGCTAGGATAATTAAAACTGTGAGACAACTGATGGTTCACCTGTCATATACAGTCTAATATGCCTCACTTTAGCACCATCAACTCAACTTCATATATATTTTTCTATCATAATTTTGTTATTCACAGCATAACTTGTGCTTTCTAACAAAAGGTCAAATAATAGAGAAAATTAGGCAGCCTACCGGTTTTGGTGTGTAATGGAAATTTGACAAAGCATCCAGCTTTACAAATAATTTCTGCATCATCTTCTTTATTTCGTCATGATCAGGATCTGCCTTTTCTTCCTCTTCTTCTTTCTTTGTATCATAAAACAAACTTATGTGACATTTAAACATATTTAGTGACATTTTAATATATAAACAAAGAATGATATTCTGTATCAGCCAAACCCAATACCAATCCTTATTGTTTTGAAATGTTCCCCTAAATGCATTTAATTCTCCAAAGTTTTATAACAGCTGTTGACTTCCAACCTTAAAACTTCACAATTTTTCAAGATCATATGTTTTTGAAATGCATCCCACAATCTATTCATATGTAGGAAATAATGACAATTAAATTTGAAAAAAATCACTCATTATTTTCCCCATTTTAAACCTGTTTTGGACTTAATTAACATTTTTATGTAAAAGTGAGCTTTGTAGATTTGGAGAAACAATAAATACCTTAGAGCTTCCAACTTCACATACTTAAAACTAAGATCTTTCCCTAGCAGGAAGGTAGGACAGAGAAATCTCTACCTAAGGAGGAGATTCTTGATCGCCTAACCTGAGGCTTTCTCTGTTATACCCTCAAGGTAGGGAATTATTGTTTTTCTACCCCTTTTTCTCTTTAAATAAGCAAATAAATATACATGTGACATTATAACCATCGGTATAGTCATTTGTATTTCAGGCCCGGATGAGAATTCTTAATGACGTCAATGACCCTAACTGACCACGACACGACATAAAAATGACATCATAAACAATTACATGGAACCGAAATATCACTTCATGTGCATGCGATTGTCTTGCTGGGGTTAGATAGAGATACCTTACCCTCACTGGAAGTGTGGGTATTCCCCCCTCCCCCCCAGATAATGAAGTTTTTACCTGCTGTTTGAGATATTCCTGTTCATAAATCTCTCCAAGACTTTGTTTGCTTTTCTCCTGGTCCAACACTATCCTCTTTTTGTACTCAAATGGATCCTCTTTTGGCTTGACTTTTCGTTCCACATCATCATACGCCTGTAATTTAAGGTTGTGATGGAAACAGCACACTTGGCAAGTAAAAATATGAAGAACTATTGTCCTTTTGTTAAAACAACTGCCCATATATGCATGATGGACATGAACTACTTAGTAATCCTGGACAGTTAATTAAAACTACACATACTGAGCAAATATTGCATACCTGTCCAAATATTTGCCTGACCACATGAAAACATGATAATGTTATAGGAAGGAGTTATGAAAAATACCCTGCCTCAGCTGGAGTCCAAACGAATGACCCTTCAGTCTTTAGCCTGACACTAGATCTACTGATCAACTAAAACAGAAATTTTACACAAACAGCAATGCTTGAGATAATGAATGAAATCTAAATGAGAATAACCTGATTGATGACATCTTACCTTGTCTTTGATCCGCTGTATAATGATGTCTTCCAGCTTCTGTGTGGTTTCTTGGGTTACCACCGGTGCTACAAGTAGCAATTACATACAGGATATAACAAAAGTTCCTGATGTTATTTAAAAAACAAGCCTTAGACTTTTTAATCAGAGCGTGCCTTTGACAAGCCAAAATGAAAACTTTGTGACAAGCTTCAAAAATCACATGCCAACAGAAACAAATTTAAGAACCTTTATGTCATATGGTTGATTATGCAGGCAAATATTGTAGAAGACCGACATTTCCGTGTCGTTAAAATGAAGTCATTTCATTTCTTTACTTACAGTCTCAATTGCATGTCACAGTGCAATCTGAGTGTGAAGTCTTTCAATTATCTCAACCAGATAGAATCTTTTTGGTTTTTGATTGTTGCATTTATATAAATTTAGTAGATAAATGTAAACGATACATTGAAGCTTTGGTTGTGTATTTGTTTTCTATTACAATACATAAGTGATACATCCCTTCTGTATTGTAATTTATCCCCATACGCTTCTGCCATATTGTAAGAGCCCTAGTTGAAATGTTTTCCGACGACATTTAAAGAAGAAACTGTTTCTGAAATTCCAGGAAATCAGACACAATCTAGCAGAGGAAAAAATACATAACAGACTGACATTTTTAAGATGCAATACTGTCAACACCTCTTCTCAACATAACCATACTCTACACAAAAATTAATTTCATTCTTATATGTTAATTTATCATCCTGATTTCAACCTTGGGTTTGGTCGACAACAGCTTATCGGTAATGTGACCCTAAAACACAGCCAGTCATGGTAATCTTTTTCACTGTTCTGTCTATAATCAATTTCAATCCTCATAATTGATCAGAAATCTGTCTTATTTTTGAAACAGAAATAAAATATCCTATGATCATACAGTTGTCTCCCTTACCAAGTTTCGTGGTGTGTTCAAATCCAAGATGTTCTTCCAGTAAACTGTTTTCTGGTCGGTGAGATGATGTGATCTCACCCTTCAGCTGCCATGACTTCTGTTCCAAACTAGCATCCTCCATCTGGGCAATCTTTTGCTGGAGCTGATGAAGAGATCAGTTATCGATTCAAATATATAGGAATCACAGAACTTTTAAAAGAACTTAAAAATCAAACACCTTACTTAAGTATTTCAAAAAATCTGAATTGTAACTAACCAACCAACCCACACCTGTGAAAGGACATCATTTTATCACCAAGTACCTTAAATTCAAGTCGTAAATGGTACCATGGTAGTTGAATAAGAAAAACTGTTGTATACTCAATTTCTATTATACCTTTTCTTGTCGTTTCTCAAATGATGATTTGGTATCCTTCTGTTTTCCGCCAAGGATATCCTCAACAGCCTCTCCTTCCTCGCTGTCACTATCACCCAGCAGGTCAAGACCCTTAGTGTACTGTTTGTCATATTTGTCCTTCTTTCCATCTTCACTGTCCTCCTCCTCATCGTCATCGTCCACATCGTCCTCCTCATCATCCCTAACAAATTTCATGTATATTTTACAAAATTTAAAAAAGGAATCTTTTAAGCAAACACAAATTTTTCCAATACCATGATTTTGTCATTTAAAATAGAAATTCCATTATTGTTTAGCTATTAAAACAAGAACAGACAGTTATATTAAATATCAGCAACAAATTTACCTAAATAAGAGACTTTGACTGTTTTTTAATTCATTTAATTCTAAGTTTAATTCTTTACAAGATATTATTCTAATTTGCAAAATCACACTGATTATTTTCTATCATTTTTATGGGTTACATTTCGATAACTTTCACTAGTAAATATAAATAATTCTTGTATCTTACTATCACCCACAAATTCTGGTGTTCACCAGCATCTCTTATTCTTTTACATGATTTCATTTTGTGTTGCATATCTTAAAATAAACTTTACAATATGTGGTCAGCTGGTTTTTTTGTAGTCAATATCAAAACCTGAAATGTAGTTAAAGCCACACCCACATAATGGAACAATTATATTTGTACAGGAGTACCAGTAAAATATTTAGAGATTTTGTTATAAAATAATTTAATGGATTCAATATCATCTCTAACTGAACTTAGGAGGTGAAGGTGGGCTAACAACAGAATCCTAGAATAGCCTTCCTACACAACAGTATAGCTGCATCTCTCAAAGGGACTAAATGGTTAGATTTTGTTATTTTTTTCCATGCGTTTGATTTCGGACAAGCCTTGCAAAACTTAAAATTAGACTATTGAAAATATTATAGCATGTTTAGGGAAAAATTGATAAAGATTATCAGCTTCAAACTAACACTGGTCGACATATGTGCTATGTCTACTGCAATTCGCTGTTTTGATCTGAGATAGTCAAGTTCATCACATGACCTGTTTTACCTTGGTTTGACCCGCCACTTTGTAATGATTTCTAAATTGTCCTGCATTGCACACGCACAAACACTTTGCTTGCACTCTCCGAATGATAATGATAAGAATTAGTGTTGGATTGCTCCTATTTTATTTTAATTTTTTTTACATTTTTAATAAAATGGTTATGCAAACTTATGAAAATCACTGGTTTATAGTAGCCTACCCTTCACTGTCATCTTCTTCATGATCATCACTATTATCATCACTCTTCTCTTGTTTTTCATCATCAACATCATCATCATCATCTGCCTCTGTGAAATGCTTTTTTTTCATTAAGTTGACATCACCTGCTTCCTCTGGCGGATCAAAGAAGTCCTGATACTTGGCTTTTCTACCATCCATCTACAATAATAGTATGTTATGCCTACATGATACACAATAATAGTTTGTTGGAATAATTTTAAATATTAGACATTATAAATTTTGAACAATCAAGACATTAATCTCACTTAAATAGGAAAAATAAACCAATATGTACAAAAATGTACATTTTCCATGATTGAAAGCATGAATCGCGATTAGCATCCTCAAATACTTACAAAATTATAAATTTATGTTTTGTATTGTACTTCTACAGTCACAAATTCATTACTTAATGGTACCAAGGCTTTGTTGTATGTTGATTCCATGATTTCTTGTATATGTTATTGTCTGTTTTTTGGTGTAATTCTCTGGTTTGTTGTTTGTGTGATTCTCTGGTTTGTTGTATGTGTGATTCTCTGGTTTGTTGTATGTGTGATTCTCTGGTTTGTTGTATGTAAGATTCTCTGGTTTGTTGTATGTGTGATTCTCTGGTTTGTTGTATGTGTGATTCTCTGGTTTGTTGTATGTGTGATTCTCTGGTTTGTTGTATGTAAGATTCTCTGGTTTGTTGTATGTGTGATGTGTTGTATGTCTCTGGTTTGTTGTATGTGTGATTCTCTGGTTTGTTGTATGTGTGTATGTGTGATTCTCTGGTTTGTTGTATGTGTGATTCTCTGGTTTGTTGTATGATTCTCTGGTTTGTTGTATGTGTGATTCTCTGGTTTGTTGTATGTGTGATTCTCTGGTTTGTTGTATGTGTGATTCTCTGGTTTGTTGTATGTGTGATTCTCTGGTTTGTTGTATGTGTGATTCTCTGGTTTGTTGTATGTGTGATTCTCTGGTTTGTTGTATGTGTGATTCTCTGGTTTGTTGTATGTGTGATTCTCTGGTTTGTTGTATGTGGTTTGTTGTATGTGTGATTCTCTGGTTTGTTGTATGTGTGATTCTCTGGTTTGTTGTATGTGTGATTCTCTGGTTTGTTGTATGTGTGATTCTCTGGTTTGTTGTATGTAAGATTCTCTGGTTTGTTGTATGTGTGATTCTCTGGTTTGTTGTATGTGTGATTCTCTGGTTTGTTGTATGTGTGATTCTCTGGTTTGTTGTATGTGTGATTCTCTGGTTTGTTGTATGTGTGATTCTCTGGTTTGTTGTATGTGTGATTCTCTGGTTTGTTGTATGTGTGATGTTTGTTGTATGTGTGAAGATTCTCAAGATTCTCTGGTTTGTTGTATGTGTGATTCTCTGGTTTGTTGTATGTAAGATTCTCTGGTTTGTTGTATGTGTGATTCTCTGGTTTGTTGTATGTGTGATTCTCTGGTTTGTTGTATGTAAGATTCTCTGGTTTTTTGTATGTGTGATTCTCTGGTTTGTTGTATGTAAGATTCTCTGGTTTTTTGTATGTGTGATTCTCTGGTTTGTTGTATGTTAGATTCTCTGGTTTGTTGTATGTGTGATTCTCTGGTTTGTTGTATGTGTGATTCTCTGGTTTGTTGTATGTGTGATTCTCTGGTTTGTTGTATGTGTGATTCTCTGGTTTGTTGTATGTCGCCTTCTCTGGTTTGTTGTTTTTGTGATTCTCTGGTTTGTTGTATGTGTGATTCTCTGGTTTGTTGTATGTGTGATTCTCTGGTTTGTTGTATGTGTGATTCTCTGGTTTGTTGTATGTGTGATTCTCTGGTTTGTTGTATGTGTGATTCTCTGGTTTGTTGTATGTGTGATTCTCTGGTTTGTTATGTGTGATTCTTTGTTGTATGTGTGAATCTCTGGTTTGTTGTATGTGTGATTCTCTGGTTTGTTGTATGTGTGATTCTCTGGTTTGTTGTATGTAAGATTCTCTGGTTTGTTGTATGTGTGATTCTCTGGTTTGTTGTATGTGTAATTCTCTGGTTTTGTTGTATGTGTGATTCTCTGGTTTGTTGTATGTGTGATTCTCTGGTTTGTTGTATGTAAGATTCTCTGGTTTGTTGTATGTGTGATTCTCTGGTTTGTTGTATGTGTGATTCTCTGGTTTGTTGTATGTGTTTGTTGTATGTGTGATTCTCTGGTTTGTTGTATGTGTGATTCTCTGGTTTGTTGTATGTGTGATTCTCTGGTTTGTTGTATGTGTGATTCTCTGGTTTGTTGTATGTGTGATTCTCTGGTTTGTTGTATGTGTGATTCTCTGGTTTGTTGTATGTGTGATTCTCTGGTTTGTTGTATGTGTGATTCTCTGGTTTGTTGTATGTGTGATTCTCTGGTTTGTTGTATGTAAGATTCTCTGGTTTGTTGTATGTAAGATTCTCTGGTTTGTTGTATGTGTGATTCTCTGGTTTGTTGTATGTGTGATTCTCTGGTTTGTTGTATGTGTGATTCTCTGGTTTGTTGTATGTGTGATTCTCTGGTTTGTTGTATGTGTGATTCTCTGGTTTGTTGTATGTACGATTCTCTGGTTTGTTGTATGTGTGATTCTCTGGTTTGTTGTATGTGTGATTCTCTGGTTTGTTGTATGTGTGATTCTCTGGTTTGTTGTATGTGTGATTCTCTGGTTTGTTGTATGTGTGATTCTCTGGTTTGTTGTATGTGTGATTGATTCTCTGTTTGTTGTATGTGTGATTCTCTGGTTTGTTGTATGTGTGATTCTCTGGTTTGTTGTATGTGTGATTCTCTGTTTTGTTGTATGTGTGATTCTCTGGTTTTTTGTATGTGTGATTCTCTGGTTTGTTGTATGTGTGATTCTCTGGTTTGTTGTATGTGTGATTCTCTGGTTTGTTGTATGTGTGATTCTCTGGTTTGTTGTATGTGTGATTCTCTGGTTTGTTGTATGTGTGATTCTCTGGTTTGTTGTATGTGTGAATCTCTGGTATGTTGTATGTGTGATTCTCAGGTAAGTTGTATGTGTGATTCTCTGGTTTGTTGTATGTGTGATTCTCTGGTTTGTTGTATGTGTGATTCTCTGGTTTGTTGTATGTGTGATTCTCTGGTTTGTTGTATGTGTGATTCTCTGGTTTGTTGTATGTGTGATTCTCTGGTTTGTTGTATGTTTGATTCTCTGGTTTGTTGTATGTGTGATTCTCTGGTTTGTTGTATGTGTGATTCTCTGGTTTGTTGTATGTGTGATTCTCTGGTTTGTTGTATGTGTGATTCTCTGGTTTGTTGTATGTGTGATTCTCTGGTTTGTTGTATGTGTGATTCTCTGGTTTGTTGTATGTGTGATTCTCTGGTTTGTTGTATGTGTGATTCTCTGGTTTGTTGTATGTGTGATTCTCTGGTTTGTTGTATGTGTGATTCTCTGTTGTATGTGTTGTTGTATGTGTGATTCTCTGGTTTGTTGTATGTGTGATTCTCTGGTTTGTTGTATGTGTGATTCTCTGGTTTGTTGTATGTGTGATTCTCTGGTTTGTTGTATGTGTGATTCTCTGGTTTGTTGTATGTGTGATTCTCTGGTTTGTTGTATGTGTGATTCTCTGGTTTGTTGTATGTGTGATTCTCTGGTTTGTTGTATGTGTGATTCTCTGGTTTGTTGTATGTGTGATTCTCTGGTTTGTTGTATGTGTGATTCTCTGGTTTGTTGTATGTGTGATTCTCTGGTTTGTTGTATGTGTGATTCTCTGGTTTGTTGTATGTGTGTTGTATGTGTGATTCTCTGGTTTGTTGTATGTGTGTATGTGTGATTCTCTGGTTTGTTGTATGTGTGATTCTCTGGTTTGTTGTTTGTCTGCTTCTCTGGTTTGTTGTATGTTATTTCTCTGGTTTGTTGTATGTGTGATTCTCTGGTTTGTTGTATGTGTGATTCTCTGGTTTGTTGTATGTGTGATTCTCTGGTTTGTTGTATGTGTGATTCTCTGGTTTGTTGTATGTGTGATTCTCTGGTTTGTTGTATGTGTGATTCTCTGGTTTGTTGTATGTCTGATTCTCTGGTTTGTTGTATGTGTGATTCTCTGGTTTGTTGTATGTGTGATTCTCTGGTTTGTTGTATGTGTGATTCTCTGGTTTGTTGTATGTGTGATTCTCTGGTTTGTTGTATGTAAGAGTCTCTGGTTTGTTGTATGTGTGATTCTCTGGTTTGTTGTATGTGTGATTCTCTGGTTTGTTGTATGTGTGATTCTCTGGTTTGTTGTATGTGTGATTCTCTGGTTTGTTGTATGTGTGATTCTCTGGTTTGTTGTATGTTTGATTCTCTGGTTTGTTGTATGTTAGATTCTCTGGTTTGTTGTATGTATTCTCTGTTTTGTTGTATGTGTGATTCTCTGGTTTGTTGTATGTGTGATTCTCTGGTTTGTTGTATGTGTGATTCTCTGGTTTGTTGTATGTGTGATTCTCTGGTTTGTTGTATGTGTGATTCTCTGGTTTGTTGTATGTGTGATTCTCTGGTTTGTTGTATGTGTGATTCTCTGGTTTGTTGTATGTGTGATTCTCTGGTTTGTATGTGTGTGTGATTCTCTGGTTTGTTGTATGGTTTGTTGTATGTGAGATTCTCTGGTTTGTTGTATGTGTGATTCTCTGGTTTGTTGTATGTGTGATTCTCTGGTTTGTTGTATGTATGATTCTCTGGTTTGTTGTATGTGTGATTCTCTGGTTTGTTGTATGTGTGATTCTCTGGTTTGTTGTATGTGTGATTCTCTGGTTTGTTGTATGTGTGATTCTCTGGTTTGTTGTATGTGTGATTCTCTGGTTTGTTGTATGTGTGATTCTCTGGTTTGTTGTATGTGTGAATCTCTGGTTTGTTGTATGTGTGATTCTCTGGTTTGTTGTATGTGTGATTCTGTTTGTTGTAGATTCTCTGGTTTGTTGTATGTGTGATTCTCTGGTTTGTTGTATGTGTGATTCTCTGGTTTGTTGTATGTGTGATTCTCTGGTTTGTTGTATGTGTGATTCTCTGGTTTGTTGTATGTGTGATTCTCTGGTTTGTTGTCTCTGGTGTGTGTGTGATTCTCTGGTTTGTTGTATGTGTGATTCTCTGGTTTGTTGTATGTGTGATTCTCTGGTTTGTTGTATGTGTGAATCTCTGGTTTGTTGTATGTGTGATTCTCTGGTTTGTTGTATGTGTGATTCTCTGGTTTGTTGTATGTGTGATTCTCTGGTTTGTTGTATGTGTGATTCTCTGGTTTGTTGTATGTGTGATTCTCTGGTTTGTTGTTTGTGTGATTCTCTGGTTTGTTGTATGTGTGATTCTCTGGTTTGTTGTATGTGTGATTCTCTGGTTTGTTGTATGTGTGATTCTCTGGTTTGTTGTATGTGTGATTCTCTGGTTTGTTGTATGTGTGTATGTGTGATTCTCTGGTTTGTTGTATGTGTGATTCTCTGGTTTGTTGTATGTGTGATTCTCTGGTTTGTTGTATGTGTGATTCTCTGGTTTGTTGTATGTGTGATTCTCTGGTTTGTTGTATGTGTGATTCTCTGGTTTGTTGTATGTGTGATTCTCTGGTTTGTTGTATGTGTGATTCTCTGGTTTGTTGTATGTGTGATTCTCTGGTTTGTTGTATGTGTGATTCTCTGGTTTGTTGTATGTGTGATTCTCTGGTTTGTTGTATGTGTGATTCTCTGGTTTGTTGTATGTGTGTTTTTTAGTGTAAACAATCTCTGGTTGAACATTGCTTTGCCTACCAAACAGTTTTAATTGCTGAAAATGAATACTACACATAGCAAACATCTTTAAGTCTGATTAAAGGCCTGATTAATAATACGACTTACAATATATAATTTCACTGAACAATACAAAATTTGCTGTATTAATAATACTTAGTAAACATAGTTGTGTACCTCTTCTTCCTCATCTAAGTGAAAGGCCTCAAACATGTTGATATCCTCAGAATCTTCAGATTCCTCCTCCTCATCTCTCTGATGCTCTGCCCTTTTCTGTTCCCTCTCCTCACGGGCATCCTCTTGGTCCAGAAATGCTGCCATATCTGCTAATTTGAAGAATCTGTCATCTACAACACTTCTTTTTGACTTGTTTGGTTTAGATTTCTGTTTCTGCAGATTAGAAATCTGACTGTTTAAAGTGTTTTTATCTCCATCTTCATAATCTTCTTCATCATTGGGATCACTAAGATCATTCTCCAGATTACCAAAGTCAAAGTCTAAATCATCATTTTCCTCATCATCCACATCATCTTCATCATCCATACTAGCTTGAAGTCTTTTCTTGATTCTATTTAATTCTGTATCAGAATCCTCATCACTCTCCTCACTATCCTCTAATGCATTGTTGTTTTCATCTTCATCAAAATCCTCTAAAATGTTATTTGGTAGTTTTGTTTTGCCCTTTTGTGAATTTTTATTCTTGTTTTTAGTTTTAGTTTCATCAGCTGTCGTTAACTTGTTATCAGTTTGGGCTTTCTCTTTCAGTTTTTCTGCCTTTCTCCTGCAGAAGGACAGGGGCTCTCTAAAGAAAGAAAAATACATTTGTTAATTTATGAAGACATACATACTGGGTACATTTTAAACTGAATATGAATAGAAAAATGGTATAATAAATTTACAAATTAAGTATTCTAATGATTTTTTTAATCGGTCAATCATTTTTGTTAAACAACAGGCATTGAAATAAGGGGCAACAATACTAAGTAAAAGCCAACTGATGATTAATTATAGGCCAAAGAAATAAACACTGTTGATCTATATACTGGGAGGACTTCTTATGTACTTACATGCAATGATGGATAAGTATAATATCAAGCTTTGTATAACGTGCCCATAACAAGATTTTATTTTCTAGTTTAGTGCTGCTACCTGTTAGTTGTAAGTGAAGGAATCTTTGTCATGAGATTATCAACAGTAAAATTGTTCTGTAGCTCCAATTCCTGCCAAATCTGTTCCTCATCAAAATTATGGATGATAAGTTCTGGAAGCGAGGAGTCATATGCTGCTTTGCTACCACTTTCAGATGATTTTGTGATGTCATACACACTCTTTGTAGCATCTTTAAATTGTCTGTGTAGTTTATCTTGGACACTGAAAAAACAAGTATTAGAGATATGATCATGGGGTCCCAAAGAGATCTTGGCTCATACCATTATATAATGTTTATTTGTCTTTTATTAGTGGGATCTATTCCCATCTTTCCTCAAAATGCTCTCCATCATATGTCACCTTGACAAGTGAATCGTATGATTACATCAATAAACAAGTGAAACCTACATCTATATCCATCTAGAGCACAATTCAAAGAACCAAAAGATAAAACCTATAGATAATTTCTTATTCAGAACGAAACATCACATGGGTTTTTTTTTATAAAAGTAGGCAATAACAAACTTTAACTGCCTGATATCAAAGATGGCCATTTGTCAGTCATTTTGTTTTTCTACCCAGTATCAAGATTAAAATGGCAACACTCGAGACTGTGGGAAACTTATGATTACACAATCAGTCTCAAAAAGGATAAAAATTTCACTTATGACATAGGGGAACTAATTACGCATGAAATTTGAAATAAATCCTTCTAGTACCATGTATTTAAAAATCTGCAGTAAGTGATTCAATAACTGACCATGTATGCAGGACCATTGGAAAGGCTAACTATCTGATTATGCTGGCTATAAAAGGAAATAATGCCTCTATAATGCTCTTTATGTTATAAGAACAATGTTCTTTCGGTGCCAAAGACATCCGAGTGAAGTTCTATACCAGTATCATATGTAAGACCACATTTCGGTCATGGCCATGACTTGATCCATCTGAGAAAAAATTCAATGGGAAGTGAAAGCATAAGTGCTCTACACTTTTCGCGTAGCTAACTTCAGTGTTGATCAGAAATACTATGACAGCATTTTCACTTTCCTGAATTAATTTGAGTTACTTTTAATTAATTCTAATCTATAAAAAGATGATATTACACAATTGAAATTATTCAACATATAGTACTAATCAATATCATGATGACATATAGACAGGCACACAAAATGTCATTGTCACTGTAATTGCTTAATTGATCACTCGCTGTTGCTTGCCAACTTTTCTTCGTTTCTTGAAGCACTAACCATAGCATAGCTAGCGAAAAATTATTGCTAGGGCCTCGGGGGTCCAAAACTAATTCAACATGGATATGTAGCGAATTGTGAATTGTTAAAATACATTTTTTTCAAGTTTGAATCTTTAGCATCAAAACCTTTTCACATATATATATATAATTCTCATCATCTATACTGGTGTAAAATCATTTTCAAATAAAATCTTTCAAGTTCTAGAATACACTTACACACATAACAGGAACCCTGTATCCCCACTCCCTACTCCTATAACATAAGAGACCACTGATCGGCTGATTTATTACCTTACGTTATTGCGTCGACTGTGAAACCTGTAATATATGTTTCTCGTCGTGTAAGATTCTAAAATTGTCTGATTGCTGGAGTACATCAACCACCAGCTGCTTACCAGGTCAAGCTTCCCTCGCTCAAGCCTGTTTTAGTTTTACTAAAGAAATTATGCATTAAATTCAAATGTATTTATTTACCTTAAAAACACCTCAGGTCGTTCAGTTAATTCTATAAAATTCTTCAACGTTTTCGTCACGAGGTTTTCACTGGGCAGCGCCATTTTGGAACACGTCACAATAATATCCTACTAGCAAACTGAATCCGCTACAAAGCGCATGAGGTCTCCATGCATTATAATAGCATAGAGTTACTTCCCTTCGTTTCACTTCATATGCAATCAATCGAAAGCTGCAAGACGTGAATTCCAATCGTTATGACCAATGAAACGGAGCTGTATGATATCAAAAGCAACGTAATTTGAAATCAGATGGACGTGTTCATGCAACCACAAAGTATGAAAGGTTTATTTATATTAAGCTTTAAACAAAAACGCACTGCACACTATTCGATAGAAAGTAAGCGAAACGTTTGTGTCACTAAAACAGAAAACTTGGAGAAAAGAAATAACTGAAAAAAGGAGACCAAAAATAAAATCCACGCCGTTAGTTTATGATTTAAAACAGAGACATATATATTACATGTGTTATATATGTCTCTGTTTAAAAGAAGGAAATGATTATTTTCATAGTCTGCTTTCTATTTTGAACCAGTTAAAATTTATGTAAGAGTTGTCCCTCGTAGACCAACCTACTGTACAATCAGTGCGATCACTTTAGTGTGTTTTTATTAAACTCTTGTTATGTCGAACTAATATTCGTTATTGAGATAAATTGAAAATGAATAAAACCAAGAGACGAATGAAATGATTTTAAATAATGGTAAAATGCACCTTTCAATTTAAATAAGCTTATCAAAGTCTCCGCAGAAGTGAAAGGTTATGAGAGAATAAAGATAATGCATGTATTTACAAGTTAAAATAGTTGAACACACGAACAAAAAAATCTGTAAAATAAACGTCTATTCAAAAAATTCGCAAGGTTCTGCACTTTATAAACATATTTTTATATATATTGCTTTAACACATTTCACTTTTGCAAACAAATTCGAGTAGATCCATATTTAAATTTTGAAAAAAAAAAACAACAACATTATTTGCACATGAATCCATTATACTATCAAATAGACTCAGTAATAATGTAAAGTTTAAATTGTATTTATTTATTTGTCAATTTATTAATTTATCTATTTAATCTTTGTTGTTATATGTCAATGAATTAGTCAAATTTTCTTTTCGAACGCAAACAGCTAAAACTTTGTATCAGCGCATGCACACATAACGTTTAATTCATCATGAAAACTCCTTTTACGCTGAAGTTTCGATAGCTTCTTCCGATTAATGACTAGACCAAGAAAATACTGGCCAATATCGCTCTACAACCCTTAATTTGGTGAGTATTTGCCAAAATTCTAAAAACGACATGGGCAGCGGATATGACTAAAGTTCATAATAACTATTCCATATGAAAAAACGCACACTTCATTGGTTGCAATGTAATTTAATCTGATTTTTTATGGATTCCAAAACATTAATCTTCTTTTGTCTGAAAATAGTTTTATCATAATCGCAGTTTACCCGAACAATTTTGATAAATACTTATACTAACCAAAGTTAGATCGTGAAATCGTCTTTGCAGTTACATTACAAATCAAAACACGTTTGAGCACTTCTGTCCTTTAAATGAATGAATTGGCAATGTGCAGTAACTTTTCATTCAAATGCTGATTTTAGCTTTTGTTTTCACATTTTGTGGTCTCCTCTTTCTGCAATGTCTGGTGCTCGATGTAATATATATGGTTGGGTTCTGAAGGAAACAAACATAATTCTAACAGTTTATAACCTTCTGTTTTTCATTACAATGACATACATTTTGGAAGAGAAATGAACAGCATACGACGTATTCAAACATCAACTGTGAACCCGGATTTACGGCATAAACAAACTTGCGGACGATAATGGACTCGTCCTGCGATGACTGCAATTTGTGTCTATCATAAATTATTAATTTTTTACGCTTGACCAATAAGAACAAAATTAATAATAATTAAATAATGACGGAATCAGGCAGGATGTGGCAAATGATTGGTCAGACAATGGAACCGTCTAGACAGTGTATGCTAGTACCATTAATATTTTGACTGAGCAACGTCATTTCAGTTTTGCACTTCATATTTTGCCATGCTTTCTTCGAATAACCTTTGCCTCTTTACATAGAATCTGCTTGAAATCTTTTCTTGTCAGTGTTGATACTTAGTTCCTTACTACATTGTATTATTTGCTGATAGAAAGGGGCCTTGTTCTATTGTTGTTGTTATTGTTGTTATTGTAGTTGTAGTTTGTGTTGTTGTTGTTGTTGTTATAGTTGGTGTTGTTGTTGGTATTGTTGTTGTTGTTGTTGTTGTTGTTTGTTGTGGTGATAACTTTAAATATTCTTTAGCACGTTAAATTAATGAGTGGAATTTTATATCCATTCTTTATTCCGATTTATTCAAAGGTACAAATTGCTGTTCTAGGTTTCGACAATATCAATTCCTTCTATGTCCTTGTATACCCACTTAGGAAACAGTTAACATTTTATCATTGGTTCACTCCACAGAAGTTTGATTTTCCGTAGCTTCCTCTCGTATACATGGGATAAGACAGTAGTCACTCCTCCATAAAAAAACATTTGACAGTAGTCAGTATTCCATAAGGGACTCTGATATACTATTGCTCACAGCATTAGAGGATCAGACAGTAGTCAGTACTCCATAAGGGACTCTGATATACTATTGCTCACAGCATTAGAGGATCAGACAGTAGTCAGTACTCCATAAGGGAGTCTGATATTCTATTGCTCACAGCATTAGAGGATAAGACAGTAGTCATTCCTCCATTAGGGAGTCTGATATTCTATTGCTCACAGCATTAGAGGATAAGACAGTAGTCATTCCTCCATTAGGGAGTCTGATGTTCTATTGCTCACAGCATCAGATAATCAGACAGTAGTTATTATTTCTTAATTGAGTCTGATGTTCTATTGCTCACAGCATTAGAGGCTCTGACAGTAGTCATTTCTCCATAAAGGAATAATGATATCTATTGCTCACAGCATCAGAGGATCAGACAGTAGTCATTCCTTCATAAGGGAGTCTGATGTTCTATTGATCACAACATTAGAGAATCAGACAGTAACCGCTCCTCCATAAAGGAATTTGATATCTTATTGCTCACAGCTTCACTGTTCTTAGTTAAGATCAGATAAAAAGTTATCGCCGACCTGTTGATCAAACCAACAAATAATGACTATATAGCTGTTTGGGGAAAAACCTGTCCTGCTCCACATTTACTATTTTTACCCGAGGTTGGCTTTACGATAAATTCGTCTGATTAAGTACCACGTACGTCAAATAATTACACTGCGTGGAAACATTTAAGTTGCAAACTTCAACGGATATAAAAGCAATTTTGCGACTTTTCTAGAATTAATTTTTTTTCATATCTTAGATATGATGTAGTACTAATGCACATACTAAAATACAGCTGTTTTCCGTCACTGCCGAATACAGCAAAAATATATAACAAGTATATTCCGACAATGGCAGCATCATTTGTAGGCTAAATTATCCCAGATTTCCATTTTGGTTTCGCCAACTCTCAGCCATTTATGTCTTTCTCGCCTTCACTGATCAATGCAAATATACTTGTATCCATCACTCCATTTCATGTTGAATGGCGTTGTGTTAGATTTATATGCAAAGTTCTTAGGTTTCACAATTGTATCGTTTCACTCGCAGGTGTTAATTCTCACTCGGCAGATGTTTTCTCTCACTCGCAGGTGCTTTCTTCTCACTCGGCAGATGTTTTCTCTCACTCGCAGGTGCTTTCTTCTCACTCGGCAGGTGTTTTCTCTCACTCGCAAGTGCTTTCTTCTCACTCGGCTAGTGTTTATTCTCACTCGCCAGGTTTTTTCCTCTCATTCGGCAGGTATTTCCCTCTCACCCAGTAGGTGTTTTCCACTTGCTGTTCTCTCAGCATGTGTCTTCTTCTCTCAGCACGTGTTTTCTTCTCTCAGCACGCGTTTTCTTCTCTCAGCACGTGTTTTCTTCTCTCAGCGTGTGTTTTATTCTCTCAACACGTGTTTTCTTCTCTCAGCATGTGTTTTCACTCAGCACGTGTTTTCTTCTCTCAGCATGTGTTTTCTTCTCTCAGCATGTGTTTTCTTCTCTCAGCACGTGAATCTCGGCCAGTAGGCGTTTTCCCCTCACGAGTAAGAGGCCACGCCTGCCGAGTAAGAGGGCCATATCACTCGGCAGGTGTGGTCCTCTTACGTAGTAGGTATAACCCTCTCACTCGGTAGGTGAAGTCCTATTACACGGCAGTTTGACCCTCTCACTCGGTAGGTGTGGTCCTCTTACGCGGTGGGTACGACCCTCTCTTTCGACAGGTGTGGTCCTCTTACGTAGTAGGTATGACCCTCTCACTCGGTAGGTGTGGTCCTATTACACGGCAGGTTTGACCCTCTCTCTCGGCAGGTGTAGTCCTCTTACGTAGTAGGTATGACCCTCTCACTCGGTAGGTGTGGTCTAGGCAGATATTTTTTACTATTCCTGAGGTGTTTGTTCCGGAGATTTTGTTGAACACCAGCAATATAAGCCTTGATCGGTCTATCTTGTGGTAGTCTTGACATTTGCAAAACGAGTGTCCTATATATATAGTTTATATTTATACCTAATTTTGTTTTCGCCTATGAACATTTTCTTCTTTGTTTTTAAAATTTAGTGATACTGGCGTAAGCCCGTTGCTTTTTTTATTTGTTTTGCTTGTACCTTGTCATACGTAAGTTTGTCTTCACTTTAATCAACATATCTGTAGTTCACTTCACTCCCACCATCCCCCTCCTCCTCTGCCACCACACCCCCTCCCTGAAGCCTTGTTTACTTCCTCGAGCATTATTGATTTAGCCCTTGCTGTGTCTCAACATTTAAGAAAAAATCGCTTCCTTTAGGCGCAGCATTAATACTGTACATGTATCATTTCTCTCCAATCTTCTGTTAATTGATTAGGTCGATCCGATATCATCGGAAGTCGCGTAATCATATTAAAAAACGGTCACAGACGAAAAGTTCAACATGTTCTTGTTGTTTGGGAGACACCTATATCAACATTTCACTTCCCTGTGA